TTATCTGAGCATATAAAAACCTTAAGAATTGCCAACACATAATCCAAGAATTTCGCCAGGTGATAAGAATGGCCAATCGTAATTTGTAATCACAGAATCAAATTATCGCTAATTGCAAGAGCTGCCAAGGATAGGCTATGGGATGAGCTCCCAGTTTTTTCACAGTCTTTTTTAGTCCCTTTCGATGCCAAATAATGTTAACAGGTGATCGAAACTTATTCGAGTGGGTAACTACGCGAATGGTCGTTGGCCTCGCGGATTTCGTGATGTACATGCTGTCGTAAATGTCCTAATAAGTGAGCAGTGGCCTTATATTGTATTTGTTTGTGAGCCATGGAACTATGGGAGCTTCCAGAAAATTTCAGAAGAAATCTAAACTTCGGCGAAATTCTTGGTGGATATTTGCCGCTCTCTCAATACATTTTTCAAATCATTACTTGCATTGATTTACATCCACTACAAAACCCTTGTCATATAGCTTATTAACTTTTACCTAAATTTTGAAATAGTGAGCTGCTTGGAAAGGCGGAGACGGCAGTCCGTCCAATCTGACCTCAAGCGAGTCACCTTTTACTTCATTTCAATCACTTCATCATTGTTATATTTACCTGTTGTTCGCACGGAGGTTAGAGTTTCACATCGGATCGGCTTGAATATTTCCCACTATTCAGTTGAGAAGTGTGACACCTGCAAATTACGAAGCAGTAATCCCTAACTATGCTCAATTCGGAGAGCTCAAGATCGAAATATGCTCGCAATATACTGTTTATAATCATGAAATCGACCTTATGGATTCGCAGCAAAACATAAACTAGGAGCTTCTTTTAACTGACATTGATCCTTAAGTTGACAACTGCATGAATTTTGGATTTATTTTTCATTTCTTTGTTCACAAAATTGATGAAAAAGATTGTCGATTCATAGTAATTTGCTTAAACTGTAAAGGCACAGTTCAAGGTGAAGATGGCTGATGAGATATCCCCCTAGAATAAATTTTGGGTACCCTCGAATACCATATGAGGCGCTGTCAGGTTGGAAAACGGCCTAGATAGGTCGTCATAAGAGCTCAAAGATTGCAGCGTGTGTATCCTCGGACGAGTTTCACCGACAGGCACTGTAGAGGCTGCACCCATTACGAGTGAACCCATGTGGGAACTTCAAACAACTTGTCATGACTAATACGACAGTGGAAGGCAGTTCTGTGCAACTCTGACTTGATGTACTCAACTATTTACGCTATTGCAACAACTGAAATCTCGTCCAAAATTTTCTTCCGTGTTACTTCCCTCATGGCAATCTCGTCCAAGCTCTATTTTCACTTCTTTTGAGAGCCTCGTTCTTCTCGAAATCGGTGAATTTACTTTTTTCACTATCGATTAGCTTTTGCCAACCTATAGTTCCGCTTTTCGACTAGAAAAGGTACCTCAAAATTATTTTGAGCTTTGAAGTACTGATTCGAGAGAATCACGATAATATAGCGTTGCCTCTCATTTCTTTCAATGACCCAAACTGTGTCCCGGTTAGTTATGGTTCTGAAACACATACTATATACTGCTTCCTTTAATTTCTGCACCAGAGCAGCATGGAGCCCAGAAGGATGACTTTAATTTAAACATCACTAGTCTTTGCAATGGAACGAATACAAATTCGAATGCTGCTATGATTTTTAGTGAGATTGTGAAGGCACTCTACAAAGTGGAAGCGATCAACGCTCTTGAACAATGCCCTTCTTCACTCGTTACTTGCAGGAGGCCTCGACAAAGTTTGGTATTCGCGAACAAAACAATCCGTTCCTCTACGTAGTTCTACCAAAGCGTTTGAGGCATACAGAACTTTACGAGCAGGTGTTAGCAAACAGTCAGGAGCTCGTCACTCATCACGATCTACACTCTACTTTCGAGGATATCCTCTATGTAAGCTCTTGATTGTTTTTCTGCCGGAAGCGTTTATAGTCCGATGAAATTGATATTTTAGAATCAGCCGTTAAAGAACTTCACAGATGTGTCATTCAAAAAGTTTGATAGCAATGTACGTGGTTCGTCGTTACTCCGGCAATTCGAGAAGGGCGTAGAACGGACATGCAAAACATTGCCCATACCATTTCAGTACTGTATATGTCAGTACAAAAAGGAGAACATCACGTGAGTTTCATGCAAGTTTCAGCTCTTTGTATGGAGTCAGCACTATGTATTAACTGCTCTATAATTAACCTCAATCGTAACCATTATTCCATTACTCGATAGACGCGATCATCATGGAAAACAACAGACAATAAGATTGGCCAATTCAATCTCCCTGGCACAACCGGGCCTTGTGGGGTTGTCAAATGAAGGGTGCTCCTCTGTGAGGGTTGCGATCATGGAGGCTCCTCTGGTCTTTTGGGCTGGCGGTGGGTGATGAGCAGCATGAGTGCTACCGCCAGCATGAGTGCTACCGCCTCGTGTCCACTCCGAAGGACTTCCCACCCACGGACTGACTAATTGTTCTAGGTGGGGAGAAGGTGGAGGAGGGAAAGGTCTATGTAGACTCCCACCTCCCACCCAGTGGCATAAAATATTTTTCCAATGGTAAAACCTTGCTGAAACGAAATTTCTATTTTTCAATATTATAGCGATGTCAACTTGGCGAAAGCTCTCGGACTTTACGCCTCTAAACGTCTGGCAGCAACTCTTGATGCTGAAAAAGTTTCTCCTCAATGCGAGAATATTGTCTTGGACAATGTATGGTGACATCCTGCTTTCTGTCTAGTTTCCTCATTGACACAGGAAGAGAGGTGCACTTGAATTCAGATTATTGAAGCTCAAAAATACGTTCTACCACATGGAAATACGGCTCAGCCTGAGATTCACCTCTACGAAATCACTTTTACTGTGGCTGCTCCAGCTCTGGGTAGATTCAAGGTATGTTGACGGGGTTTTTTTTAGAAATCCAATGCTATTCTCTTTTCAATCACGTATTTGCTGCTTTCTAGATACCAATCCGTGAGGCATCACAGGGAAAATTTGAATTAGCTGGAGAGCAATTCGATCGGCTCGATAAGTACGGTCACCACGGAGATTGTATGACGAAGGATATTCTACGGCCGTTGTGCACTTGCAAAAACAAAAGAGGTCGCTAGAAAAGCCGTAGACCGATCCGACAGCGTGGTCTTTTCTGAAATTTATCGAATTCTCAGGAAGAAACAGTTTCAGAGAAGGAACTCTGTTCCTTTTGTAAACCTCCCTTTACCGTTGACGCTGTAATTAAGACAGTTCCACGATATGTGCTAGAAATAGCTCAAAGTTTGTGCAATCACTTTACAGCTGGAAATTATATATTATATATTATTATTAGCCAGTTGTTATATTTATTTACATTGTTGAGGAAATATAATTCTATTACTTTTATTGCGCTCGTGCGCCAGTGTAACCTAAGATTTTGTAGGCAAATTCAAAGGAAAAACTCAGGGTTATGGATTTCAATCGGGTATTCTTCTATAAGGGATGCATGAATGCCATCATTTTGTCGAAAACGATCACAGGTGTCTAAGTCGTTTCTTCTGACAAAACTTGAGCTTTTTTTGACTTACAATTAGACGTTAAAAATAGGTTTGAGGAGACTAGTTTGCCACGATCCCAGAGACATATGTATTTTTCACGTACAGGTACTTGAACGTTCCCATTTCTGATTATAACTCTGTCTTAGATTTTGCACAGCTTTAATCACTTTTCAGTTGTGAACCTAAACCTAAATTTCTTCAAAAACCCTCACAGAAATTTCTAGAAATATTTTTGAATTCATCGAATGCACCAGAAATTTCCATAGATCGCCGATTATGTGACTTATTTTGTAATTTTTTTGAAGTCAGTACAGCTTATATTCCGATTCAGTGTGGTAGAGATATGCCGCTACATCACCTTCGCCTTTATGAAGTGTTAGTTACTTACAAACCCAAGTGTTTCAGTAAAACTGATATTTGTGTAAGAAAAATGTTTTCGGCGTTCACAAGTACATACAATCTTTCTACTTCTAATGTAAGATTCCAGGAAAAGAAATAAAAAAGTCTCATTATTATACCATTACGTGGATAAACTGCATCAGGGTTTCACTTAGCATGTACAAAATTCCTCATCACAACTGTACTATCTAGTTGCTTCTGGCATGCAGTCCGTTATATTACGAGAATATGCTCTGGCTCTATATTTACCGAGCAAGTGCAGAGGTTTACTGCATTGTATATGTCGAAACTGGTTGCTAACTTACTACATTTACTACAGGATTCGGGATTGATACATTTCTTTTCTTCTGTTCTAGATGAATCGTTTTTTTTTATCTCGTTTTATTAATGAGCTTAACTGTTACTAATTTTCGATGCACGTTTTACAAATGAATGTTTTTAAAATGTTTTACATGTACCACACACTTTTTGTGCTCTGTCAAGGGTTCGTCCTCAATCTATTCGATTGATATCCACTGAGGTTTACCGCGCAGTACTCGTTTTTCTAACCGGGGGGCTTACAAAGGATGACAGTGAAAAAAAATTGAAACAAAGAGTTGAAAATTTTTAAACTGTTCAAACCTAGAAGTCCACATAAGAAATGAAGAGCTTCCTGGAAACACAAACTGATAAAATGAATTTTTCCAGCCTTTCCCAACATCAGCGTGCTCCGCGCTCTTTGCTTTACTTGTCATTTCTATTGAGCTTCTTTGTGTTATGTGTTGCCCGCCATTACCTTTATTTTCCGGACGCTACCCAAGTTCTACGCCCACTGTCTCTATTCGGTCCAAAGGCGATACCAAACCACAACTGATATACCATCTGAATGGGATTATCTAAAGAAACAAGATCGTATTCAGTTGCATGTGCAGTATTTTCTCTTCTCAATCTTGAGCCGTGCACTGATTTGTGTGGAATAGTGTTCAGAGGTACAGTTCACGATGATTTGGGGGTGTCTATTTTTAGCAGCGTGATGGAAGTGATATGCAAAACCGGTGTGTTCAGAGGAGTATGAAGTTTTGAAAAGGAGTTAGACGAGAATGTGACGACAGAAGCTGCAAGGAAGGGGTATTTGGACGAGCAGCTTGAATGCAAAACACAGCTGGGTGCAGTAAGCTGCAAGGTGTGGGTCCCGGTGCGAATAATGTAAACCTCTACGTCTTTTACAACTCTGAAGAAGTCGTCCTCCTTGGGTGTGTACGTCGGGTAAATCGGTTTGGGGTCTTTATTACGCTCGATCTCAACCATTTTTTGTCCCCACAGTGGCCCTTATGATATCCTGAGGGCTCACAGGTTCATCGACCAAAAAAATTTTATGGTTAGAAGCCATTTTTAGCGTAAACTGCGCCTTAAGGAGGAATTGAGCCAATGCTGCTCATAGACAACCCTTTCTTTTTCAATTCTCCACTTTTCCCTTTTTCAGTCTCCACTAGTGTCACCGAAGATTGCTTGTGACTGAACAAATTAAGACGAATATTTCATTCTCCGAATGATTTGAGGCGAGTTCAACTTTAAAAAGAAAATACAGCTCCCACATGGCAATTTTACGCATTTCGCAATGGACCACGCTGAAATGATGGCTTTACAGCAAAAATATGAACAAAACCAGCGATCATTTCCAGTAAAACATTGTAATAAGTTAATAAATTATTGCACGTGATTATACTGCTTTAAGTACATCTTTTGACAGATACTCTAACGTTTCCCTTGGACCGAATGGTTGGATACTGTTCTGCTCTTCCTCTGTTTCCTTGGCGATAACCATGCATCTTACTATTCTGAATTATGGTTTAATTGTCCATTTTTCTCTACATATTTCCCTGTACAGGCTACATGCAGAAGTTGGCTACAGCTGTCAAACTTACCTCACACCTTGGCATGACCTTCGCCCCGATGAAGGGCAGTTGTTCGGCTCTGTTGCCTGAGGTAGCCATAGTATGGAGGTAAAGGTGGTGGGTANGCTTTCTTTATAGCCAGCGTTTACGCAACCACACCCACTCAAATCTCGTCCAAATATCCTTTACATACCATTCCCGTCATGGTGACCTCGTTAGTTGGGTTTTGAGATGTGCTCTAGCCTAGTCTATACACCCATTTTTTATGACGAGCGAAATGGCAAGAGTTTTGAGTTGGCTCAGCCTATGGGATGAGACATGCACCTGATTTATTTCTACAAAGGCGGGAGATATGGTACATCGAAGGTAGAAATACATTCAGTGAAATGGTAGGAAATAATCCAAGTCCATGGTCTCATGCTGACAGACCGGCTAGGAATAATTCCACCAACTCTGGGGGCATGAAAGGCATGGCCGACCTAGGCGCAGCTCGCTTGTGCGGACCGTGGATGTGTGACATTGCGCACTTCCCCAGATCGGAATCTATGGAATAACACGGTGAAAAAAGGAATAAGAACACAATTTCAACAGAAACGCTACAAACCTGTCGATACGGCTGCTAAACCGACCAAGGCTCCCAGCGCACCAGCCCCATAGCGAGGCCTTGGTCTGAAAATTGGGGCCAGAGGCCGAACGTTATAGTGGTTGTGAACGACACGGCGGACAACAACTATAGGACGTCGTCGAGAGAGTACTCCTAAAAATTATCGTCGAGAACTTTTTGAGTGTCGATTTGCACAGCTTTGGAATAATAACTTCTACTTCACTATCACCTGTAGCTAGTAGTAAGACTGGAAGGATCACAAGCAGTCTCATCGCTGAGGCGAATGTTCAGCGCTGTCCTGAAACAATACTTTGAGAAGATCACTCTACTTCTGTCCTAAACCACTTCAGCTTCGCCAATAAGTGAGGGTATTGGGTGCTCCGCTCGAGGCAGCCTCCTACCTCGGAAACCTGTAGTTCTTCTATCTCTGTCAGCGGATAAAGTCAAGTCAGGAAACCTATTCTAGCCTTCAAAACAATAACAACCTTTGACACATTTTTTATTCAGCAGCGATATGAGAGTAGACCCGATGAAGAACCAAAAAGCATTGTTACAGATACGAACACATCCTGATGTAAGGTGAGGAGAGAAACGCATAACTAGCAGTTGTGATATCTGTATTGTTCAATTCCAGGATTTCAATGTATTCTCGCATGAAGTCACGATGGGCTGCAGTTGGTGGTGTTCATCATTTGCAAGAAATACGATCCTCAAAGTATGGGCTTCCCCCAAAATTCGTATGTCTAACGATTCATGCATTGTTTCACTGACTCGGGCTGATAAAGAAAACGGGATTTCAATTGTATCAGTTACTAGTATAATACGATACATTTAGATTGGCATGGATGGGTGCCATATAAATGGGTTGATGGATGCTGTAGATAGCCTCCCCTCCCCCTCCAGTAGGTCAGTAGTGAACCAACCTGTGAGTGGAAAAATCTCTTGGAGAGAAGCAGCGAAAGCTGTTTCCTGCCTTATAAGCAGCTTTATAAACTGGTTCAGAATTGGAGCAGTAATCTCTGATGCGCGAGATCGCGTTGTACGCGGAATAGATAGCTTAACATCAAGTAGCCGAGAATGTGAGCTTCATTCCAGAAGGGGAAGAAGGGAAGTAGCAGGTTACTGCAGAAACAAGTCGCTGCAGTAGCTCAAAATGTTATATCCGGAGCTCAGTCTACTATGGTGATCTCAAGGGTGAACACCTATTGAATGCACTTTTTGGAACAACTACGTTTTCCATCTATTGGAAGCGTTGTCTTCGAGGAACAACTGGAAGGAAAGTTCCTGGATCGGTTCCCATACTATGCAATCTGAAATTCAATGATCTCGGGTAATTGTATTGTCGAACTACCTGGTAATTAGCGATTCCTGACGTACCCATCGCAATCTTTTTGCGAGCAGCACATCCAACTGTAGAAGGAAGATATGTACAATGGAGTAGAAGAGCTTCCATCTTTTTTACTGGAGCTCTAAACTGTTTTGGATGGGCTCACCTGTGACCCTGTGCTGCTCATCTCGCCATACCCAGCAGTCTCCCTTTTTCTCCAACTTTTGCTACCACCCATGCCTATGTGACACCATCAAAATTCCAGCTTCAAAGCGCTGGAATATTTGAGTAAGAATTTCTGAGAGTTGTTTATTGGGGCAGCGGAGTTAGCTATGCTCCCGCCTTGACAGATTAACTGATCGGAGAGAAAACTTGTCACTGTGGCGCAAAAACTCTAAAGTAAGCTTCGACTGCGCAATATGGCCCACTCACATTGTAAGTCTCAGAAGTTCTGTCAGAGTATGTGAATCAGGTCATCCGCTCCATTTTTATTGGTGCCAGTCCTTTCTTGGGAAAATGCTTCATAAGTTTCTCTGCAACTTTACAAATAGTCTGATATTTACTCTTCAGAAAAATGTGTGTGGGGAGGTGAATGACGTGGGGTCGAGTTCCTGATCATACCCATCTCGACCTTGTGTCTACAGAAATCAACCACAGACATTTTCGAAACGATAAAGGCACCCAGTCAGGTATCCATTCAATGGCGTAACTCAGCAGCAAAATTCAATTATGTCGTGTGGGTAGCTTTGAGGAAATATTCAGAAGAGATTGATTCAAAGGAGTGTCCAATCCAATCCAACGCTCCAAAGGAATAATGTTTTATAGCTGAATCTTCAGGAGCACATCACGATCATACTGCCAAGAAATTATTGAAATGTTGAATTTTCGTTCACTGCAATACTCCCCGACATATCCATGTGTACTAGAAGTTTTCTTGGATTTCTAGGGTTCTTCTAATCCATTGCTATCTACTACATTTGGGAAGGATCATGTTCCCATAATAGTTATTGTGATATATGTTCGCTTTCTCGTGTGGGTGTATGATAACGTCACGCTATGGGTATGATTCACTGCAGCTTGCATTGAGGCCGTTGACATGGAAACTCGTATGTTTTTTGCAGAGAGATCACTGCAGCTGCTGCAGTCACTTCTGTGATGCTTCCCCTATACAGCCTGTCCCACTTTATCTCTACTCAAGATATGACGGAAAACGCCTCAGACAATAATTGTTTACGATACTCGATATTCGACATTTCTATATTCATGTTTTTCTATCTCCTTGTAACCCCTTCCTTACTGTAGATCCCATTAAACATCCGGGAATAACGATTTCCCATCACTTTTGCGTCACCGCATAATTTTTGTCGTTGGTTTTATTAGCGAGACAAAATGCAGTCCCTCAGGGACAGTTACATGAGATCGCTATTAGGATGAGCAGAGCTATTGTGATTGCAGTATGAATCAAAGACTTTTCGCTCTCCTGCTCTCTGCAAGCTTTCATCAGAAAGCCGAAAGGAGACCTAAGCTGTTGTGAGTCATTTACAACGCTCAAAGGACCAGAAGTAGTGCTAATACTTCCTCGGAACAAACTAATTTTAAGTGACCTTGGAATTCAGATTCTATTAAGTAGTAAAGGATGAGCCTTTTCTGAACTTACCGCTATCGCCGTGAACTATGGAAGTTCGTTCGTTTGAGCTTACAGTCGAAAGACTCCCGTGGTAATCGAAACGTGCTTCTTCTGTCTGGGAATCGGAGAGCTGGTGACGAGGGAGGGGGAGGTGG